TGGCCTGAAAGCTCAACATGGAAGGATGGCACTGTGTCAAGTGTGGCTCGTAACAGGGTCACTTTCATGAGGTCTGTATAATCATCACCCTTTTCAATAGATTCTCAATCGCTTTCCCTAGGTATTTGACAAAACTTTGCGATCAACTTGTTTGCATGATTTCGGACGAAGATTCCGAAAATCTGATACTGAACAATGACGAGGATAAACCCCCGCATATTCAAGATGGTGATGATAAGGACTTTGAGTCGCACAATCGTCTCTTTGCATTTTCTGTCGAGCAAACGGATGAGCAAGAGGAGACGGCGAAGGCGAAACCTGGATTTATGGCACGCCTTCTTATACCTTTCTCAGTTTTGTGCTGATTTCTCTAGTTTCGACACTCTTCCCTCAGGCCGGTTCAGCTTCCCGAGAGTGGGGTCCCGTCATCCCTTACTCATGACATCCTTCAACCATGCATAGTAGCTGGAGAGACGTCATTGGGATTTCTTCAGGTCGAGTTCCTGCCAAAGCAGCTAAACCGGGATCTTATCGACGGTTTTTTCATGGAATTGGCTTTACGAAAGAGAATAAGGTGACTTTGGATCACTATTCACGGTTTGACCTTCCTCTGACCTTTCAATCGCTTTAATTAGTGTAAATTCCAGTCCGAATATTGCCCTTTCGGAAGATCTGGACGCAGGCAGCTTGAAACTTCTCTTGGAGAACGATCTATGGTCACGATGCGGTAACCTTGAGGGTCAATGGGCAGAGCAGAGAGAAAAGGACGAAATCAAACTTGCGACTGAGGAGAAGTTGGAGATGATAAAGAGGCAGGATCAAATCGATACTCAAGTCGACCGGTTCAGAATCACGATGCCACTTGCATTAGTTAAGATGGCTCTCAAATACTTCCCGTATGTAATCCCTTTATACCATTCTCATATGCTCACAATGAGTACAGAACTCTGGCGGGATATGAAGATCGCCTCCTTGCTTCGGTTATTGGGCAAGGGACGGAGAATATTGGCGAGATAGATGCCGAAACAGCGTACTTTGAAGGTATGTAAGATGTTGGTTGGGTATTATATATTGTTAACTCAGCAGATCAGTTAAAAGTTGGCTTGAGGCGAACAAAGAGATGACCGAAATCAAACGAAAGGAGATAGAGACAGACCTACGCTCCCTCGAGAATGAACGAGCGACATACGCAACAATGAAGACTCGATTCCCCTATGTCTGGGAGGCTCTCAAGTATTCAAAAGACCTCACGGAAGAGGACAAGTGGCGGCTGATCGACCTTATTCGCCGGCGAGATATTCATTTCCGGAAAGAATTCATCAATATTACACAGAAAGAAAGGAGTGAAGGCTTATTGGCACTGTTTTTCTATAGAGTTCAGCAAGCAATGGCTACCATTACGCCGTTACCGGCTCCAGACAAGCTAAAGCCTCTTCCAATCGTGGATGATGTGACCTTTTGCGCCAGCTTGGACCAATTTGTGGCTGAAAAAGAAGTGTTTCGAGAGATCGTCGAAGAGTTGAAGGAACTTGCGGTCACCATCCTTGAAACAAAGATACAGAGGCTTAGTCAAGTTACGAGGGAAATCAAGCAGCTTATGGAATCTCAGATGCATGATCAAGTCAAGAGCTTGTTTCTTATACGAAGAAAGAACGAGAATAAAATGGCCTGGCAAAAACTAAAGCAAGAAGTCTCGGGTCGCCTCAAGTCTGAACCACAACATAATGGGTGCGACGTCTCGAATAGATCTGGCATCTTCTCACCGACGACTTAGCCTACTTCTGACAGTTCGAAAATTAACCCTTGAGGAGAATCCGTGGAAGAGCCAGCCTGGTACCCCTCTTTCGCAAGGCTAGAACACTTCACTGATCATCGGTTCAGAAAGATTCAGGCTAGTCGCAAGTCTGGCGGCACCTACGCAAGCAAGTTTGCGATTCACTGTCACCCAACTAGAAGTCAAAGAGGATGACATCAAAGCTGCTTTAGAGGACAAGAATCATGTATGCAAACCAATCATTCGGGGCTTCAGACCACCAAGTTTTACCCTGCCAGTCATAAGCAGACTACGGTATTTCTTCGCCCTTTTCTAGTCGCCTATCTAATATCTCTCAGATACGCACGTCTCATCAATCATGAATTTTGTCTTATTGCCGTTGAAAACGGAGGGCTCCTGAATATTTATCTCGATTACCTTAGTACCATGGAGTCTGCGATCGCAAGAGGTGGGAAGCGTTTTTACCTGAACAAAATTGGCCATAAATTTCTCTTTGCGGTGGATGAGACCAGAAAACTGTTTGTGATGCTTACAAACAATAGGGTAGGACTGCTTTTCCATTTATGATCAATTGCTAACATTTCAAAAGGGTTCAATTCAAGTCTACGTGTACATTTACGATCTCGAGACGAAAACACTGAATCCTCGTGGTGCTCCCATCAACATTACCAGGTGGTATTCGGAGCAAACAATCTCGTTCACTCACCTCGTATTCATCTCAGGTAGTGAGGAGCTCCTTATTGCTGAAGAAAATGGCACTTGTCGTATATTTTCCTTGATCACGGAAACATTTAGGTTGGTCGACACACTGTTGATATTCATACCCACTAAATTTTGTCCAGACCATACCACCTTGAGCTTGGCGGGAGAGTACTTTCCGCAGGCTCCAGCCCTGATGGTGCTTGCTTATTTGTCAAGGTCAATATCAACGGAATTATTGGTATTCGGTGCTTTCATTGGGCATCTTTTGGCTCTAACATGGGTATTGACATTCCTTGGCCTGGACAAGTACCGACCACATCCCCTATGGTGGTTTCATCAGTAGGCCACCGTTCTATCGCCCATCTCATTTTCCTGGACTCCGGAGAGAGTGTCTGCTACTCTCTTCTGATGCAAATAACTCAAAAATCTAGTGAATTCAACTTTTGTGCGAACGTACCCACCGGCTTGCACGACAGATCAAGAAGGGTGACTATAAACAATTCGTTAGTTGATTGCCATGCAGAAGTTTGGACTCGCTTTCCGGTATATGCCACGATCAGGAGAGAAGTCACAAAAACGACTATGCACCATCCTAGATCGATTAACTTTATCTCCCCGTTACCATCACTTTCCTTTGTTTTCTATTTTTCGAATTTAATCCGAGAATTTCAAGCAAAGACTCGAAAGCCCACGGGAAGTCTCTTGGAGCAAATCACAATATATGCATCCCCGGATTGGGATCCGGCTCTAAACAATTCTGGAATTTCAGAACTTCAAGCGGGTGAATGGCTTGTGGGAATGTTCTGTCTCATCCCAATTCACTTAGCAATCACCAAGAATAACCGTTTTATTCCCTTGAAGGATGGCGTATTGTCACCCGAGTTTGAGAGGTCTCTTCTGGGCGCCAATGTCGCGCAAATCTCAGAATCGTGAGCACATTTCTGTCTAATTTAAGGTCGATTCAAATTATCTCCAATTTTAGAATATCTTTCGGATGGTATGAAAGCATCTTTAGCTCATATATGGCCCGAAAGGTCAGCTTCACACAACTATGCTGTAATAAATGCTCACGAACTCAAAGCCAGTTAAGGTGGTCACTTCCATGGGTATGGATACTCGTTTTCTATGAAAGTTACTCACAGACATTAGGCGAACAATCTGTGGGCAAAAGTTTTGCGTTGAACCATTTCGTCGACACGTCTTTTGCGTTAGTATGCCAGTTTGATTCAACCAACTTTTTTTGTAAACTTATCCTTGAAGGGGCTCCGCAATGCGCTGTACGGAAGGGGTTTGGTTATCCATCACACCTACCCGGGATTACTTAGTTGTGGCCATCGACTTTGAAGGTGCGTTTGGATAAGATATTAACTGGTACATGATTTATTTGTCCATCTAGGTGTTCATTCGATTGAGCGCAGCGCACAAGAAGGTGATTATTCGGCTTATTTGTTTCGCAATGCTAGTGATTTCTCTGATATTATTCGCTCAGATGTGTTACTTGTCTTGCTAAATGCAGCGATCTCGAATTTTGTACCCGCTTCATGTTCGATATCCCTTGCATCGCTGATTATTCTTAGGTTCTGTTTCGGAACAACTTTGCAATCTCACGAGACATCAACTGTCTCTTCACAGTAAGACGCTGAATTTTTTTTGCCTTTGATTCAAATTGATCATTCGAAGAGTTTCCAATCCTCCACCAATGTTTTAGACCCCGCTTCGAACCCAGGTCTTTTCAACGCCACATTAGGCATCATTATCAAGGTAAGGCTCCATGGCCTGTGTTACAGCCATCTGAAACCCTCCTAGGATGTCATTGACTCTGACACTAAGGAGATAGTCAATGAGTAAGGTGATCACTATGTTGCGAAGTGAAACTGAACTCCACAGATTCAAACAGAAGTTCCAACGGATTGTGCACAAGGAAAAGGCCGACAACTTTATTTCGAAGCTACACAGAGGGCGCGTTGATATAATCCCATGGCCTGTCATAGAATCCTCTGAATTCTATGAATGTTTCGGAATCATAAAAACGAGACTGGATCGTCAAGTGATCACCCATAAGCATGCCGGGACCTTTCTCTCGATGCTCAAAATGCTTATGGCCAAATTGAAGGTGGGTCCCTTGAATCTTATTTGACGTGTCTAACTACATATAGGCCAACGACTGGGGATCTCTTGACTGTGAGTTATGTTTAGCCCGACTTAAGCAGATTCCAAACCCATTATAGCGAATTTGGCAATACAAAGGGCGGACCAACTTTCTTGCTTCCTGATGCCCGCAATGTGCTATGGCACCATAGACCCTGACAGCCGTGAGCCATTGAAGGTAATATCATATTACAAGATCCATGATTTTATCGTTGATTTCATTAGAATTTCGATACAGACGAGATTCTACCGAATGAGGACGGTATGGAGATCTTTTACCTGGGCCATCCTGACAACTCTGCCGCATCACATTTATCCTTAGATGCCTGCCTCAGGCGTCTGAGAATGTCATATACGAAGCGAGAGGAACGATTCCATATTGCTGAAGACGAATTTTTCAACAATATATCCTCTTACCTTCACGATCTCGTAAACAAACGCTTACTATGTGTTTCCCAGTGGATCAAAGCAAACACAGAACGCTTCGGGGAGCGAGCTGAAATTGTGGGACTCCTTAGAATGTTTGACTTCCATTCAAAAGAGCTACGTGCCAACATAGACCTGTGTGGATCGAAGTGCTCCTTTTGTGGATTACTTTGCCTCGAGCATAAACAACACGAGGGAAAACACGATTGTCAAACCTCGCACAAGTGTGCACATCCTTGCGAGTTCCTAGATCAACACGAAGACCTCGCTATTCCGGAATGTGGAATCCCGTTCGTTTCCCCTTGATTTAAATTTAATGGCTAACCAACAGTCAGGGCGGGCCATGAAGGACGTCATATGTATGTGTAAAATTGGTATTTGGATACTTGTTCAATGTGTACAGTTGT